TATATATATATAGTAATGTGTAAACTGGGCAAGCTTTGAAGAATTTCCTAAATAGGTTAGTTCTCCTCATTTTGCGAATTTTAGGTTTGTGGTCGTCCGAAATGATTTTCATAATTTTTGCGATTCTCAGGAAACTGTTTTTCAGAGCCTTCAAAATTGCCGTTTAAAATTTAATGAAAACCGCACATTATAGTTACTTAAAATTTGATGTAGTCTGTGGTCAAGAAAGGGTGGAAGGGGGTAGCGTAGTCTTAAGTCATCGTTCATTTCGAGCATGAAGCTGGTCCGACTCACCTGCGGCTCTCAAGCCTATCATTTATGCGGGATAGGGAAATTACTGGCAGACTTGTCTCCTCCCAACCTATTCTATCGAATCCATATAGGGACGCTCTAACCCGGCTTTCCCAGGACACTGGGCAAAATAAACTCAGCAGGTATTCAACGACATTCATATTTATTTGTCAGCTTTACCGGACCCGTCACCACGTCTGTTGTGATGTTGTGCTGATGTCAGCACTACTTATATAAATTCCTTTTACTGCAATTCATTGTACCCAATGGTCTTCGAACATTCCGCACGTTCTTTTGACTTCTGTTTGAGGATTTCTTCTTCTTTATGAATGTCCTGGAATGCCTTTCGAATCGATTCTTTTTGCAATCTCGGAGATAGTCATGCTGAGGGGTTCACAGGTTGACTGGAGGAAAATGCTGGGGCATTGCGCAGCATTGCGTAGAGGTGAATGTGGCATGTGATTTGCTATAAACTCTCTCCATCTCTTCAGCGGAATCCTTATTTTCTATTTTTCGTGCTGAATTTTCGATAATGTTTGTTAATGTGTACTTTTTGGAAATAGCTTTTCTAACCATCCGAAAGGTGGACTAATTGCTGGACTTGATTGAAAATAATGAGCTGACATGAATCCGCTGTTTTACTAATGGGATTTGGGTTTCAGTCTTTTCCAGTTAATTTGCCGTTGTTATTGGTGGTACTAGTGTTCTCGTTTTCTTATCAGTTCATTCGAGACATTTGAGGCATAAGAAAATATAGTAGAAGCTGTACCGAGCGAAATGCGCTAAGCTTTAGGTGTCTCTATAAGCCATTAAATTTGAGGGTTGAATGCGTCTTGAAACTAAGACTGAATTTTTTTTAACCTAGTGGTACTTAATGAATCTTAATTTAAAAAAATTAATCTTACTTAATGTGAGTGATAAGTAATTTATTAGTCAGTGTTTACGACTAGAGCTTCAGGGTTATCGTTTTAAATTTCAAATTTAACGTAAATTGAAGTGTAATATGACAAGTAATATGCTAAGAATTAATGGGCGTGAGTATGGAAGGCTTTATAGATACGAAGAGTTCCGCTTGGAATCTTTTTATCTTTTGGTTCTTTTTTCAAATATACGTTCTTCCAAAATTTTGTTTGTTCTGTAAATTTTTAAGAAATTATTGAATTCTAGGGTTCCCACATGTGTATTATTTGTAACTAGAGATGCACGAGTATTTGTGGCTAAAACCATATATATCCAAGTTCTCAGGTTACGTTTTTATTCTATTTATTTATTAGGTTTTTTATAGACTGTCTGAGGAATTAGAGGTCACCAAGATGTTAGAAACAAAGCTCGCGAACGGTGATCATGTACGTCTGCTTTTTATTCCCTTCACCTTACGTCGTTTTCTCACTGATCTAGTTCTGGTTCTAGAAGGAGGGCGAAAACGAGGACCTGGTAACACCTTGGGACGTGTCTGCATCAAGTGCAGCTGGCGTCGACTACGATAAGCTAATAGGTGCGACATTAATTTACAGCTTAGGAGTTGAATCGAGTGGTTTATTGTATCAAATAAACTGCTGAATGATTGCCTATGACGGGTCGAAGTGGACGGGAACATTTGTTGGTATAGAAATTCATTTTAGTCAAGTTCGGTTGTTGCAAACTAGAGTCAGATCTCGTTGAGCGCTTTAGAAAGGTCACAGGTCAGGAACCTCACCCAATGCTTCGTCGAGGCTTGTTTTTCGCCCATAGGTCGGTTTAAAAGACTACTTTTAACAGATCACAGTTCATATGTTAATACTTCTCTACCGTTCACACCATAATTGCCTATTTAATTTGTAATTAGAGTTTTAATGAGCAATATTGCCTCGTTTCAGAGATTTTAATATGATTTTGGATCGTAAAGAACAAGGGAAACCATTTTTCTTATATACCGGTCGCGGACCATCTTCGGGAAGTCTCCATCTTGGGCATCTTGTTCCATTTATTTTCACGAAGTGGTTACAGGATGTTTTTGATGTGCCACTTATTATTCAGGTTGTTGCTTTTGCAAACTGTATTTTTAGAACCACAATGATGTTGAGATATTCGCAAAACTCCGGACCGCTGGTGTCTGCAGTGGGAACGGAACACCCCATTACCTTTTCCGGAGGCTAACGCATTCGCCATCACACCATGCGAGTCCTTCGTTTCGCCTTTCTCTCAGCAGTGTTAATTTAGTGTAAACTAAAAGTGACGATATTGCATTCTTAGATTTTATAAAGTGTGTATCACATCCAACGTTTATGGGAAGGAAATATGTATGAATGGTTGCAGGGTTTTTTTTTTGGGACTACATAGATAAGTTTTGTTAAGCAGCAAAACAGTCGTTGTGTAAATCGACAAGACATTAATATTTTACAGCATTGAAAGTTCATGGGGTTCTCTCCACCTGAATAGTTTTACAATCTCTTCGGATTTTCTTAGTTTTAAAAAAACTGATGGTGTTTTTGATCTGCATGGGGTGTTGTTTTTTTTCAGATAACGGATGATGAAAAGTTTTTATGGAAGGATATCACGGTAGCTGAGGTTAAGAAGATGGCTCGCGATAACATGAAGGACATAATAGCAGTCGGTTTCGACCCTGAAAAAACGTTTATATTCAACGATTTCGACTATATGTGGTAAGCTTTAAGCGTTCCACGTCAGTACTTGGGTAGGTTACCGATGGTCCATAAATCGATGTTTTTCTTCAATAAGTAGACACGAGGTTATTATAGAATTTATTAGGATACAATAGCTGACATTTCGGCGGCTTCGCCTTCTTCAGAGCCGTTTATTTGTTGTATTTAAGTTAGTTGGTGGATAGCAACCGTACAGAGTGATACATGGGCGATAACCTTTTTATCCAATTTACTACACTTTTCGACCAACTTGTTAGTTCTCCTCATCACATCACCGGTCTATTTGCTTCGTTTTCGTTGTAGATTCCCTTGGACTCAAAGGTATTTCTGAGGGTCGTAACCGAATACTTCCGTTTGATGTATTTGCTTGCGATATTTCAGAATACGTTGTTCATTCACTATGTGGATGGTTTGTGAAGTTCTTAGTCTAGTTGAGGTGATAATCCAACGGAGTTTTAGATCTGTTGCTTGATCTGTGGCTTTTTTGAAGGCCGTGCACACGGCTGTGCTCTTATTCTGTTGTACAGTTACTCCTTAAGCTATTTTCTACGTTCATTGAGCGCTCAAGGTACACGTCGTAGTTTTTGTAGCTAAAAAATAATTGAATTTGGACTTGGATTCCATCGTATCATGATTATTCCTTGAACGGGGTGTTCTTCCGATCAATGCTATCCTACTCTCTGCACAGATATCCTTCAGCATGGTATCTGCATCAGTAGTACTCAAAAGTGTGACCATATGATTGAGAAGGTAAAGGTTTATTTGAATTTTCTGTCATTAGGAATGTTCTTCTCTTACTAATCAAACTGCGTGACATTGTATTACGCGGGTAAAAAGCCTTGAAGTCATGGTGTCGCACCGTCGGAAACTTCATTCGAGGATGAGTTGTTGGAAAGGTTAGTCTAGGTATAGATACTACTCACTCCATCGTCGATAATTTCTAGTAACTTTCGAAAGGTTTTTCATGGATTAGACAATGTGGTACTCCTGACAAACTTCTGTTACTCTAGGCATGGTATTTCACTTATTCGTCCACGGCGAAAAGTAACTATTGAGATCCTTTCGATCGTTGTTCCTGAACAGATAACTTTGAGCGGTGTTCTTCTCTGATCTGAAATCTTTTGCTTTTGCGGATGTGTTATCATAAGGATTGTAGAAAATTGAAAAATTTTCTTCGTTATTAACACCGTATAACGAAAAGTGGGGAGAAGCTTGTCTTTGTTCAGGTAGGCTAAATATAGGACTTTATTTGCAAAACTCTGGACCGCAGGTGTCTATGGTGGGGAACGAACGCGTTATTGTCCTTTCCGGAGAGTAACGCGTTCACCACCACACCATTCGGGTCCTTCGTTTCGCTTGTCTCTCAGCTATTTCTATCGATCTTTGCCGCAGCAATCACCCGTCAGCGGGATTGATCTGGGGCGCCCAAATCGGCATAGAACCCAGTTAAGCTGCGGCTGTAGTTGAAATCACAATGTTATACCTTTTTATTTTCTGCCTATTATTTGGGCGCCCCAGATCAATCCCGCTGACGGGTGATTGCTGCGGCAAAGATCGATAGAAATAGCTGAGAGACAAGCGAAACGAAGGACCCGAATGGTGTGGTGGTGAACGCGTTACTCCCCGGAAAGGACAATAACGCGTTCGTTCCCCACCATAGACACCTGCGGTCCACAGTTTTGCAAATATCTCAGCAACGTTGTGGTTGTATTTCGCGTAGTACCCTGCCGCGAAATTATAATAGGCAGAAAATAAAAAGGTATAACATAAGACTTTATGTTTACAAAAATGCCAACGGCAGTTCTTTGACATAGTTTTTTTTTGATTCACTTTTAATTTTCATCGATCTGGCCTGCTTTTCTCTGCTCCATTATCTCGCTGGTGGTGCTAGAGATGCATTCCGCACTTCTTAATTATTAAATAACGGGCTTATTCGGCACTGTATTGAAGGACATTTTCAAGTGGCTAATAGGACTTATAGCTGATCTCTTCCTCCAAGTGACCGTAGAAAACATCCACTACGCCTTCATCGGCTGTACTATTTGTTGGAAAGCAAGTAACAGTTATGACCTCTTCTTTATGGCCTTTAAAATATCATGGCAGTTTGTTTCAGAAGAGAGTATTCTAGCTTAATAGATGTTCGATTTGAAGCATTCTATGCTACGTTATGCACGAACTACTTTGATCTGGCTTGTTTAACGTTCTATATATCTTGACTCTTACACGATGTTTCCAACATGTACACCGCTATAGGTTTCCGACCGTATATTTTGATTTCAGTGCGCATCTCAAGTGCGCTCCAATGACACGAGGTCCATTTGGCCTACCACGTGAAAATGGATGGGATCGAAAAAATGGATGTAGATAGATTAGTGGTATTAATGCCGTTCAATACGCTCAAAATGGCGGTTAGACCCCATGCCTAGTTAATTCTACTAACTTGGGAATGTAGAAATTGGTGCCGGACTCGTTTGCAGTCATATATATCACTGTCCAATCCGCAATCCTGGCGACTGTGTGTTATGTGTGTGTGTGAAAATCGCTTCCTCCAGTCCACATGGGAATGTCATAACACGGCTGCACTAGGATGGGGTGACAAGAGATTGTAAACACAGAGGTTTGCGTCAGCTCAAATAGGACAGTCCTTACGATAAGTTGACTGAAGTTGTAGCCAATCGAAAGCGGGTCTTTCTAATTATCCTGTGGTTTAATCAACATGTGTTTATATTGTTGAGCTTACACGAGGTTAGTAGAGATGTTTATTCGGCTAACGTTCCGACGTCTTCGTATTCATCAGAGCCGACGATTCTTGTCGATGATCCACAGTTGTTCCTCTTCTTGATGTGGCTTCTTCATCTCGTATCGAACCGGATCCTCCTCAGTTAAGCATCTCGAAAAGGCCATTCTCACCAGGCGACGCTCTTTCATACAAGGCGGTCGTTGTTGATATGATTATCCATTGATAATAATTTTCTTTTCAATGGATAATCCACTCTACAGCAGTCGGTATTTTGATAAATAGCACATAGGGAGTAGAAAAAAATTCAAAATTATGGTCTGTTCGCCTTTCATTGGTTGTGCTATCGCTTAATGTCATAGAAATGAGTTCCCAATCTTCAGTGTCTTAAAGTTGGTTTATTAATAGTTGAGTTATCTGTCTCTTATTTGAATATTTGAGTTTCAATTCTTGATTTCTATTTTTTTGTTGTTAGTCCCTGTGGATCGAGGGGAAGGTCCCTCTCACCTGACTAGATTTCTTGGTTTTCACTTCTAAATGTTATAGAAATAGAAATAAAAGTGTACCTCAAAAACAGTGCTAGAGGAATGAACTCTTTGCATCTATCAGTACGCTTCTCCTAGGCCTCGACGAGAAAAATAAAAGTGCTAACTGTTGATATTCCAATGCATAACTCAGAGTTATTTTGTTCACGCAGCCCATCGTTACATCTGTGCGGATCGCTGCACTGCTTGCGTTCCACTCGTTTTATCGCATCCATCATCCATGAGGGTATTTGAACTTTGCACGTGAGGCTGCTGAGATTGTGGTTTATTTAATAAATGTCGTTGAATGCTGATCTTTTCACTCGAGCCCGGCGTAGCTCTGCTAGAGCGTTCTTCTATGGATTCAAAGAGTAGGGTGGCCCGAGACAATTCTGATACCAACTTCCCGATCTCGAAAGGATGAGAAGCCTGGTTGGCCCAGGGCGACGAAGAATCGGCATTGTGCTCGTGATGAACAGCATGACTATCACAGCGTTGCGCGCCCCCTAATCAAGTAGTTAATCACCGTTAAGTTTTTTCTCTTCGTTGTATAGTGTAGCTAAATTTACCACGTATTTTAATCCGTTGTATTATTTTACTTACAGTCCTCCATTCTACGAAAATATTTGTAAAATTTGGAAAATCGTGACGGGAAATCAAGCGAGAGCAATATTCGGATTTACATCTGACGACAGTATGGGGAAGGTATGCTTCAGACGTGTATTTGGTTTCTAGGGGTATTTTTTTATTTTTGAAATTCTCCTTCATGGCTGAATTTTTATGGAGGTCTTTGCCAAAAAAGGTTTATTTTTTCTGTAAGGTTTTGCAATAAAAGTACTGTTAAATGCGACTGCTCCCGTGTTCGTTACGGTATTAATGGTTTTCTCGTGTTATGCAGTTTAGTTTGCCTCCATAATTATTCCATATTTATTACTATTCGTTTTAGGCTGCATTCCCAGCAATTGAAGCAGCACCCTGCTTTTCGTCATCGTTTCCTCATATTTTTGGAAACAAAACGGATATACCCTGTCTCATTCCATGTGCCGTTGATCAAGTGCGTCATAGATTTTGTGTATTGCATTCAGTACATTACTTATACTTCGCTAACTGATGGGATACAAGGTTATTCAAGTGTACTGCTGTAAACTGGCCTTCATTTAACCGCGGTACGAATAATCAATGTGCTTTATTTCATTGACAAACCAACAAAAAAGCTTATCAAATATCTATTCGGCTAGCGTTTCAACGTCTTCGTTTTTCTGAGAGCTTCGTATTCATTGTGTATTGTTAATTGCTATTCGTTCTTCAAATGTTGTCGCAGAATTGTTGACATCTTAAATTAGCCACCTTCTTTAACTTGTGAGAAGAACATCTTCAGGTAAAGTAGATTTAAATAGGTAGATAGAAACCAGCTGAAAGAAAGGTGAAGCTAAAGACGCGCATGCTGTGGTAGTGAACGCGTTAGCTCCCGGAAAGAGTAATAGCATTTTCGATCCACGCCGCAGAGACCTGCAGTCCAGAGTTTTGCAATTATCTCACCATCACTGTGGTAGATTTAAATTCTTTAGGATCCATACTTTCGCATGACTCGAGACGTAGCACCACGTCTTAAATTTCCTAAGCCTTGCTTAATCTATTCGTCTTTCATTCCAGCCTTACAGGTGAATTTTATTTCAGCGAATGTTTATATGTTTTGCTCTTGGTCCCTAACTCTTAATCTTCTACTACTTTAGGGGGCACAAACAAAAATGGCGGCCAGCGATTCAACGACATGTATTTATCTTTCTGATACCCCGAAGCAGATTAAAAACAAGGTTAAGCTCATTTCTCACTTTTTAAAATCGTTAAGATAATTCAATGTTTTTCATCAATAAGCAGACACGAGGTTGTTAATATAGAATTTATTAGAACACAATTGCTGACGTTTCGGCGGTTTCGCCTTCTTCAGAGCCTGGAAAGGTCAAATTGAGATGCGATCTACTCAGCCAAACACTTTCATAACCCTAGCAGATAAAACTTGATAAATCGATTTGTGTTCGCATAAGAAACAGCTTCATTCAAACACCTACCGTTTATTTGTCGTAAGTATTTAAGTTAGTTGGTGGATAGCCGCCGCACAGAGTAATACATGGTCGATAACTGGGTCCATGTCAGATCATTGGATCAGCCTGAGGTATGGCGCTAGGTCACGCGTGATGACAAGACACTCCTCCTTGCGGTTCATTTTTGAATTTTTGGCATTGATCCAAAACGCTTCAAGAGTTTTACGCGCTGATGTTTTCGATTCCTGCGTAAGGNTAAGATAATTCAATGTTTTTCATCAATAAGCAGACACGAGGTTGTTAATATAGAATTTATTAGAACACAATTGCTGACGTTTCGGCGGTTTCGCCTTCTTCAGAGCCTGGAAAGGTCAAATTGAGATGCGATCTACTCAGCCAAACACTTTCATAACCCTAGCAGATAAAACTTGATAAATCGATTTGTGTTCGCATAAGAAACAGCTTCATTCAAACACCTACCGTTTATTTGTCGTAAGTATTTAAGTTAGTTGGTGGATAGCCGCCGCACAGAGTAATACATGGTCGATAACTGGGTCCATGTCAGATCATTGGATCAGCCTGAGGTATGGCGCTAGGTCACGCGTGATGACAAGACACTCCTCCTTGCGGTTCATTTTTGAATTTTTGGCATTGATCCAAAACGCTTCAAGAGTTTTACGCGCTGATGTTTTCGATTCCTGCGTAAGGATAGGATACTCCTCCTGGAGTGTCTTGTCATCACGCGTGACCTAGCGCCATACCTCAGGCTGATCCAATGATCTGACATGGACCCAGTTATCGACCATGTATTACTCTGTGCGGCGGCTATCCACCAACTAACTTAAATACTTACGACAAATAAACGGTAGGTGTTTGAATGAAGCTGTTTCTTATGCGAACACAAATCGATTTATCAAGTTTTATCTGCTAGGGTTATGAAAGTGTTTGGCTGAGTAGATCGCATCTCAATTTGACCTTTCCAGGCTCTGAAGAAGGCGAAACCGCCGAAACGTCAGCAATTGTGTTCTAATAAATTCTATATTAACAACCTCGTGTCTGCTTATTGATGAAAAACATTGAATTATCAATTAATGCCGAGGTTAACAGAAAGTCGGTCATGGGAATTGTTAAGATAATCATGGTCCGTTCTATAAGTTAATTTTTTTCGTTACACAATGGCTAATTATTATAGTCGTTAATGCTCCACGAGCAAAATTATTGGTGAGTGTGTGAAAAAGTCTTTTTAGATCAACAAATATGCATTTTCTGGTGGTCAGGCTTCAATTGAAGAGCATCGATTATATGGAGGGAATTGTGATGTAGACATCAGTTATCAGTTTCTTCGTTATTTTCTCGATAGTGATGAACGCCTAGAAGAGATTCGACTAGTATGTTTTATGTATCGTTTTGAGAGCATTATTCTATTTTCATTAGAAGTAACAGTTCAAAAAATTCTGAAGCAATCCATTTACCTAGAAGCCTGAGAATGATCATGTTAAAATGGATCGAAGAATCTTTACGTACTGAGTAGGGACTCCTCGACTATCAAGTGGTTCCACGACTGCTTCCCTCTCAATTGGGTCAAAGGTCTTCTTTAAATCCATGGAAGTGAAACAGAGCGGTCTTTTGTACTTTTGCAACACTTCAATGGGCCTTGTCATCGTGTGGATGTGGCCCATCGTACCCTGTCTGCATTGTTTTGCAAGTTCGGACGTTAATTCACGGTTGTCTGCGGCTCGTGCGATTCCATGCTGGCGTATCAGCTCGAATGTTTCTGGAGACAGACGTCTCTTGGTGACTTTCGAACTCTGAGCTTTCATAGCGCTAGTGTGAAGATGTTGAATGAGCCGATCGTATTCTTCGTCGATGTTATCGACAACGGGATCTTCCCAACAGCCGGCTAATGTAATGAATTGAATAAGTCCCAGTTTACGGTGGTTCTGGGACTTCAGTTTTTGAATTCAGCGGCTTTTTCTCCTTTCCGGGAGAAATAGAATCTTGCACAAAGGAGACCGTGGTTTGATCCCGTGTAGAATTTTGGGGCAACAGCGACATCGGTTAGGCTAACCCTTCTATTTACTATGATGTGGTCTATTTCGTTATGGAACTCTCCATTGGGAGACTCCCACGTCCAGTGTTAAGGCGGGGCTTCTGGAATTGCGAGTTACTATGGATGGTTTTGGTCGCCATGATAAACTCAGAAAGCCGCTCACCTTGTTCATTCCATTTTAATCCGTGGGTCCCAATGTGACGTTCTTCAGACGTTCTTCCTGGTCCAATTTTGGCGTTGAATTCTCCAGTGATGATCTTGAAGAATGTATGGTCTTCTCTGTAGAACTCCTCCGTGTCCACATAGAATTCTTGGATTCTTCTTGGTCATAGTTTCATGTCGGCGCTTAAACGACGAAGATTGTCAAAACTGGTATTGAGCCACATCTTTTTAATCGTAAACACCCGATTGGGTTTGCAAGTTGTTCGAATGAATCGATGTTCATCGACCAACTCGTGTTGACGAGAACGCCGACGCCGCCAACTCCTCTACTGTCTCATGTTCCGAGGAACAGTTCTTCTCCGGTGTCATAGACGGCGTTGAAAGGCTGGCGTCTCCTGTTCTCGGCCTGGCCGATGACGTCGTACCTTATCATGCATGATCAACTCTTCTATGGAGGACGCGGATGCAGGTGTACGTACATTATCGGTACAGATCGTCACCTTAGTTCTTTGTAATCCAAGCAGCTTCCATTGGTCTGAGATTTTAGCGCCTCTCCGTACTTGTCCTACCTAATGCTGCAAAAGTGGGTGCTTTTTTAGGGTCAGGGGGATGAGGACCGTTTCTTTTACTGTGCTTAGCATTTTGATACTCACCTTTATCTTGCTGGGTTGGGTATACTCACGGGTTGCTTGCCACGCTCTCCTAGAGTGGACATTGAGCTTATTTGTTGAAGGCGACTTCTAATCGCCTCCCTTATACTGCCCTGTCACTTGATTGCAGGCTTTTGGTCGAATTGACTCGCAGAATAGAATCCGCATAAGCGAGAACGCACCCACACACGCATGCATGAATACGCCTAGCAAATACAGAAAGTATGTGCCAAATCAGCGCAGCAGAAACAGGGAGTCCATCCTCTGGATCCACCTGCGTCTCAGGGATGCAAAGGTTGCTTTTGGTCCGCGATTAACCCCCTATCGGCCACCTGGGGACGCACCACATAGCCTAGCGGCCAAGTGGCTCGAGATCCCTCATATGGGGAGATCCGTGAATACTATGCCACTATGCGATAGGAAATCAAATAAAATATGAAAATGCACGTATTGTTGAATGATTGAAAAGTGAGCAGCCAATCTTGTAACAATGCGATGTTTACGTTCCTACATTCCAGCAATACACAGCCGGTGCGATGTTGACAGGGGAGCTGAAAAAGATTGCTATTGATGAAATTACGAAGGTGGTTGTGGAAATGAAGGAGCGACGAGAGAATGTTACGGATGAGATGCTGGAAGAGTTCCTTAGGATTCGACCACTGAAATACAAGTTTTAAACGACTGGTGAAGACGCATTTGTCCAACTTCTAACATGTTAAGTAAAATTATAAATGTGAACTGTATGTAACTTTTCGAGGACTGGTATTACATGTTCTGAATAAAAAACCCGGTTGTACAACTATTTCTTTTAAAAAGTGTGAACTATCAAATGTTTTGATTTCTCTACGTGCAACTCGTACAGCTCCACTTGGTTGCGGTGCTGCATTGAATGAGTCAACCAACCATTATAAGTGAATTTGGTATCGTGTGGTTTTCTAGTTCTCCATTTGTGCAGTACAGTGCATTCGCTGTGCAGCATTCGTCATGTCAATGTACCTACGATGACTACCGAATTCAAATAAAATAAGAGGTCACGAAACGATTAAATTTCCGTTCCGATTATTTATTACTTGTTGTTAATTGTTAACGGTTTTGTTTCCTGGAGCTCTATTGTTCTGTTTAAAAATTATTGTCTGTTCTTAAGGGTAATGGGTTTACATTTTTCCCATACTTTTGAAATTGCGGAGTTTAGAGCGTTTGCTGTATTCGTTCCCTTTTTTCTAAACACTCTATTTCTATCGTTATTGTGACTTACTACTTACTTGGTGTGATGGTCTATCAATATCGGTGTTTTTTATGAGATGAAAATTATGGTGGGCTTATTGTGAGGTTCTATTATAGTTTAGTTTTAGTTAAGTCGCCTAATTTGTGATATAAGCTTAGATCCAGTGGCATATGCATCTATTTGAATGTCCAATTTTTCGGTGCAGGCGATATGAGTGGATTTCAACTCACACCCGTCATTGCGCACTGCAAATCAGGTGACAGCGATCGATATGTTGTGCTTATCTCTGTCTAGTTAGAATTTTCCACCTATTTTGCTAGTACGGCCACTGCTTTGCGTTTACTACATGGCCTTTTTACTCTCATCTTTTAGTGCTTACACTTAAAACACTTCGGATTATGTGTGAAGAATAAACACTCGTCCGAAGTGCAACGCTCAGCATTTGGTAGTTGTTTTCACGGCACAGATGAGCAACACGCTGATATACTTTATGAATATCCATTCTATAAGATAAAAATGGAGCATCTTAGTGACTCGAAAAGACTTTATGATTAATTACAAGGCAGGATTCAAATTTCTACACTCGGCATATGATGGAATGCTGTTTTTTCGACAGCTGCCGATAAATTTTCAATAACCAAAGTACCAGAGGAGATGAGAACTTAGCCAACGTCTAAGAACGATCCACTCTGTTCTACTTCCGTGATTAGCTCTCTTAAAATGTTGTTTTTTCACTTTAAGTGCTATTTTGGATCCCTGAAATTGTTGGGAAACCGAAAAACCCCTTGAGGATTTTAAAATCTTAAAAGCCAGTGCTGCAGCAACAAATATTCTCCATACAGGGCGGAACATTGCAGTGTCTTCCAGGATTAATTTCTGGTTGTTCAATCGCTTCATTGCTCCAAATACGAGTTTCCTTGGAAAAACTACGTTTTATGGGCTACACAAAGTCAAAATTGCAACTAGATAGAGTAGAAGAAGACCCAAATCGACTGCAAAGATCTGCGCATTCCAAGGGGTTTTTGTTTCAGGTGATAGCCACTATAAGCTGAGGTCTCTTCAAAGTTGGAAGCGGAGATTATCTGCTGTCAGGTGGGTACGGTGTTGAGCGAAGGCAAGGTCATCCATGAGACCTGAACCGGAACAGTCCTGTCGTCTGCTGTTTTCTTCACCAGCAACATTCCTTTGACCGCAACATGATCGCATCCAGATAACGCAGCTTTTTGCGAATCATTCAGTACACTGAATAAGTTTCCAGATCCGATGTCCAGCACAATGATTTGCACTGGATCTATTGGTCAGTTACAAAAATCAGAGCAAAAAACCTTTGTGCGGAAATGTAAACAGCTGCAAAGGAAATTATTGGATATTCACAGAGACGGATTTTTCCGTCGACGTATATGTTAGTGGAAATACACTCACGTCGCTCTCTAAGCATTTAACAATTATAAATCGAGTTTCCGGATGTATTAAATACAAGATTTAACTTATCTGTCCTTTTTTGAATTTTTTTATTCTTCGCTTAGCGCAGAAGCAAAGTATTTAGTTCAGATGGTGAAGGATTTCAGTATTCCCTGATACCCTTTTTAAGAAGTCGGCAACTACTGTCATACCGGCCATGTGGAATCTGAAGTTATAACATGTGAAGGGTTTCGAAAAGAAATCTAGCACTCGCGTAATTTTGCACCATCTGAGAGATACGGAATTCATGTGAAGTAAATGAGCACTAACTGTGCATACTTATAGGGAATATCGTAGATTTTCATGAATATATGAGAAGACCAGCGAAGGCGATTAGGCCTAAAAAGACGTCAGTATGAGGAGCACGAAGAACCGAATTTTGTGCATCAAGTTCTATATTCATCACCAAGAGCTTGAAAAAATATTTCAGATTTAAATAGAAAAAACTGTAGAAAACGGGGAGAAAATTGAGTTATCGGGTCGAATACTGCGAGCACGAGGGAGCACAACTCGCCCTTGTAACTCGAATTGGGGTCACATCGAGGAACATGGCAACACTGGAAAGTTATGAAATGAAAAATTGACACGAATCGATCTCGCTATGGCGATACCGAAATCGTCAGACGTCTTCAGCCAACCTACGACTTTTTTATTGCATATAACAATGTTGAATTCCGACAATTCGTACCGAATTTCAATAAAACTGGGCTCTACAAACATGAAAGCCGATTCATTGTCGTGATAGGTGCTTACAGCATATTCCTCAAACATAGTAATCCTGCTACGCCATACACTTCTCCACTGAGGAGAAGGGTGTCGGACTTCTGAATTAGCCGCTACTCGGAAGAATACTCCTCATTCTTAAGAAGGTCCAGAGTCCCGTAGGTTCGAGAATAAAAAGTGATCGCAACGAAATCTGTGGTTGACGCTGTTTATTGATCCTTCTAATGCAGTGAATAATCTGTAACCTGAGTTTCCTATCTAAAGGTGCGTCGAAAGGCGTTTATGAACAATTGGCAACTGCTTCGGCAAGTAGGTTGCCAAGATTGTACGAAAGTTGATTAGTGACTACGACGCGTGCAGCTCCAGCCAAAGAATTAAAAAAATTTCAACCAGTTTGGATGTGTAAATTCTTTCCATGATTTTTGGGGATTCCTCTTTGTTTTACGGAAAAAATCTTGTCTAAAAGAGCTGATAATTCAGCCTCATGGAGAATTCTAGGGCAACAGCGACATCGTTTAAGCGAAAGCTTCGCTGTTTTATGACTTTCAATATATTACTCTCTATTGGGAGATTTCTGTGTTGAGAAGGAACTTAGTACAATCGTGATTTTTCATAAATAATCTTGGTCGCCATAATAAATTCAGGTAGTTGTTCATCTAGTTACGGTCATGTGCATCACCTGTAGGCCCGTCGTTCGTCGAGTGACTCGAGCGAGCGCCAGTAACTCTTCCGTTTTTCCCTGTCGCGTGCAAGAGTAGCCCAGTGGGTTCTGCTTGTTTTAGAGACTCGTTGAGCACCATATCTTTCTCCTATGCTTTTCATGAAGAACTCTGACCATCGGGTCGGTGTCTTCCTGCAGTGCGTTTGACATCCCGAGGAATCCAGTCACTAACGGCTCTTGTACATCGGTTGTCATTCATACGCATTACGTGTCCTGCCCACCTTATCTTCGACTGTTTGGCGTACAAAACGGCATCTTTGATTTTTGTTGACGCAGGTCGGAGCTTCAGATCCCATCCCTTACTTGCGTGAAACAGGATACTCCTAGCATCGTCCTTTCGACTGCGCGTTCCCTGAGTGGTCTTTCATCCTGCTTACGCAGCAACCAGGTTTCTGACGCAAATGTTAGGGGAAGAAGTACCGTTGAGTCGAAAAAGTGGGCACGGAGTCGGGTGTACTTTGTTCTCTTCACTACATCCTCGATGGTCTTGAAAGCTCCCCAGGCCGCTTGTTTCCTTCTGCTCAACTCTGGACCTATGTCGTTCATCATGTTGATTTCCCGAACTAGGTAAACTGGAACTTTCGGATATATTCGTTCCGTTGACCGTTAATGGGACCTACGAAACCAATCCGTTCCTCGTGGACATCGTTTTTTGTGAGATTTAGTCGAAGGCCAAATTTTCGACAGGCTTCATCAAAATCGGCAAGTATTTGTTCCGCTTGGCTAATTTTTGGTGTTGTAAGAAAGACGTCTTCAGGAAAGCGAAGATGGCACAATTGTTGGCTATGGATTTTCACTCCCATGTTGTCTCCAATGTCCGTATGACGTTCTCGAGGGTGGCGCTGAATAATTTTGGCGAGATGTTATCGCTTGGCAAAACACCTCTTTTGACGTCGATGTTAATATCAATATGTATTCTTTCTTTGATGAGCTTACACGAGGTTGATAATGATGTTTATTTTCGGCTAACGTTTCGACGTCTTCGTCTTCCTCAGAGCCGATGATCCGAGTCGATGGTCCTCGCTTGTTCTTCGCCTCGACGTGGCAGCTTCGCCTTCGTGTCGAGTTAGGTCTTCTTCAGTGAGCCATCTCCTCGAATATAAAGATGTTAATATCGTTATAGAATGGTGATATCTTGGCTGTGAAATTTTTATACAGCTGACGAAAAAATCTTTGTGCTGAGGGACTCCTTGGCTGTACAGGGCTTTCATCACTACTTCTATCTCAATTGAATCAAAAGCCTGCTGTATTAGTTGGCGCAATGGAGTATAGGGCTACGGTTCACTTTTCGGCATGGAGTAATTAATAATTCAAAGTAGAGTGCTTGACTCTGTACGAGTATTCCACCCAGGAATTTTTGATGTAGGCACAAAGAACAATCTCAAGCTTGGGGTCTAACTGCTTATGGCAATAACAGCAATGTAATATAAACAATCTAACGATGATTCGTTGAGCGAACGGGTACGAGCTGAATTGGAGGAAGGAGTGAAACACTTGAACGAAGCTGAGCAAACAACTGGAACATTTGACTGGAAGACCAGGACACT